ATCCATACGCCCCTGAATCATTTTAGGGACCTGAAACTTCCTCAAGCCGTTTGAAAACAGAAGCGGGGCAGAAACCCGAGGAAGAGGCCAAACAGGAGGCCGAGACGCCAGCGCGCCTAAACCTGCGGCGGTTTTTTCTGTTAACGGGAAGAGGGAAACCGGGGCGCAAAATGTCTTCACTCGTTCCGTCTCTTCTTTCAGTGCGGAAGTTGCACCTGCTTTCCGCTTCGGACTCGGCTGCCGTAGCCCTCGGCCGGCCGGTACCCCCAACAGCGTTTTCCCTCGGCAGAAGGTGCGCGGCTGTTGCTCTCCAGCGACGCGTGCGTCTTTTCGCGCTCCCCAACGCAACGTTGTCTAATTGAGCTATCTTGCGGCGGCGACGGAGGGTTGCGTTCCTGCCCTGCTCTTGATTTCTCTCGGCGCCCCCCCCCCGCCCCCGGTTAAGAATTGGACACCGTCCCCGAAGTCCCTTCCTTGGTGGTTCAGAACAGAAACAGGATTAACTTTTTCTGACCTTAAGGGAAGGTGACATTTTCATCTCGCGGTTCCCAGCAACTGCCGCAGAGGCGACCAACAAACCCGAGCCGGGGGAGGGGGGAACCGCATGAATGGAAAAGAATAGGAGGAGGGCTGCTTTAGCGAAACAAAAGGTGGCCATTGAGTTGCAAAGGAGAAGCTCGGCCGACAAACAAGGCGAGGGAGCAGAAAAAGAAATTGAACGAGCCTTTTCACGGACTCAGAAGTAGCAGAAGGAAAGGCGAAGAGACCCGCCACAACCCCTCAAAATGCCTTTTCAAAATTGGGGTGAAAAGTGGAATATCTGAAAGGGCCCTGCGCCAGCCACAACCCTGCAAAAATACCCTAACGCTCAAATTTCATGTGGACTAGAAGCCTGAAGTGAAATAGGGACTGGTCGTCCGCAAAACCTACCCCGCCGTAAATGGGCTAACCTTTAAGGTGTCACACAGTTTGAACCACTCGGATCTCCTCGAATTTGCCGTCCATCCTATTCGGAAGTGGTGGAAAGTGAGCTAGAGGTGGGGGGGAAGGGGAGACCCCTCTCCTGCTTCCTTCTGTCCCCAGGATTGAGAAGGGGGGGCAAGCGGCCAGCGCCCCGATACGTCCGGCAGCTGGGCAGCCAGAGGGCCAATCTGGGGCCCTTGGAAAGCGCTGCCTCCCAGGCGGTCCCACGCAGTCGCCTTCGAGAGCAACAAGTTCCCTCTTCCCGGAAACTTTTCTCCTCCACCCGCCCCGCGGCCCCCCGGCCAGGTTGGAG